AGCAAAGTTTGGAGCTTCTGATGCAGAAGGGATTTGGGATGGGGCATCCGGTGCGTGACAGGGCAGTGTGAACAGCAGGTGACACCCCCGGGATTGAGATGTAGGTGTGAATGCCAGTAATCAGGACAAGGTGCTTTAAAGTTGGAGGGTTATTGGTCTGCTGCCATTGTTTGTCTCCTTGGTGTAATTACCAGCACAGCCACACTGACGGAGCGAGTTGCTGGATTTGCCTGACCTAGTTCCTCCCGCGCTGCTCGGCTTGTGCCGTGTTACAGGTCGTGGCCAACAACCCCTCCCCAGCCCGTCCCGGGAGCTCAGGCCACCTTGTGCAGCCTCTGCTCTCAAAGCAGCCTTCAGTGACGAAAAGCTGTGCCGAAAACCCAGAGGCTGCCAAGGACACAGCAGGATACTGGATCACTTGTGGGAAGTCACAGTGGTGCTAGGTAAGGGGACGGGGTGGTGGCATCGCTTTGTTCACTTGTGCTGGGTCCACACCCAACTAATTGCCGCCCTTGGTTTGAACACCTCGTTGTAGATGTTTAGGTCCTTTCTTTCCCTCTGTCTAATTGCACCCTTCTTTCTCTCAGCTTTTTTTAATCACCTTTCAGTAATCACGGGTAATTATATTCAATATTGTGGCTGTCTTGCAGCTATTCAATCATAGTGTGTGTATTTGGGGGCGTCTTTGGTTAATATAAATTTTTAAACGGGTTGGCTTGAGGGAAGAGGTGTGTTGGTATCTCAGTTCTCAAATCTTCAGGTGAAATGTTTTTGCTGTCAGTCTTCAACCTCTGGAGGTTACATGTGCTTTGAAGAAACTATCAGTTTTCACTTCGTGTTCTGGCTCTAAAGAGTTAAACGCGGCAGTTCCTGTGTTGCTTATTTTTTTTAATCTGCTTTAATCTGAGTTTACAGTCTAAAGATTTGCTTAGTACAGTTAATACTCATCTGACTATCTTCATTCTCGATCTGTGTTTTCGTCAGGGTTTCAGACTTGTGTCTCTATGACAGTAAACTCTAGTGTTGTTGCTGTGTCTAATGAGGGTTCACTGCTCTATTCATGACCGAGCTTGTGATTTTTATCACGCTCATAAGTCTGTGTCCGTGCAGCAAAAGACTTGAGCTCCCCTCTGAATCGGGGGCTAAATTCTGCCCATGGGCACTGAAGGCAGGAGTTGGTCTTTACTAACTGCTGAGGTAGTGACCTATTCCTGCTCTACGGTAATTGCCACCTGGTTTGGGCATCTGCTACAGCCTTTTATTATTCTACTGTTGGTCAGTAGGACAAAAGCCACCACCTGAATCCGCTGGACCAAGTGCAGTGTTTAGATAAGCCAGTGGCCTTTTGGAGAGCTACACAAGGGGCTGAATGTGTCTCGCTGGTTAAAATGATTGGTCCCTGTGCAAACTCTCATTGAAAAATACCTGTTTCATCCCCTCCCCGGGGCTGCACCAGCTAGTCTGTTTAAACTTATTTACATCTAAAATGTAGAAGACTCAGATTCCATTATCTGAATTACATCCATCTACTTAACCTCACACTAGTGACCTTCTTCCCACTTGAGATAAATGCAGGAAAAACTTCCATCTTCATCTTCAACACGTGGCCATGAGAGCACTCACTGCCCTGGCTCCCAGGGCCCCCCACGTGCTCACCGAAGTTTCTGCTTCAATTACCCAGGCGATTGCAGGCGTGAGCAATGAGTCTTCTCACACCCATTTTCCCCATCGATTTTTGAAGTTTGACCTTGCTGTTAAAAGCGATGCTAGACCAGAGACCCCCATCTGCCAGCCTTGGGGGCAGAAAGATGGTTACAAAATGCAAATATTGCCTGGGTGGGAAGAGCTGCGGTCCTGCACCCCTGTCTGAGTGCCATGTATCGCTGTATGAATTTGTGTCAAGCCAAGGGCTGTCCAAACTCCTTCACAGCCCAGGCCGGGATTGCGTTATAGCAATGGCCAATTGGGGAACCAGATGGCGAATAATGTTATGTTATAATGGAAAATAATTCCAGGCTCAGAGGGAATTGTCCAAGAAACTGTCACTTGTAGAGCATTAGTCTGTTAGATAAAGGCTGAGCCGGGCTTTGGGATTCCTTGCTTCAAATCCTCGCTCTGCTACTTAGCTACTGCGTGACCTCAGGGCAGTCCCTTCACCTCCTGCATCTCTCTTTGATTTTTAGCCCCTTTAAAGGGTAGAGGTTCTCCTGATTGCTCTTTGGGTTGTGGTTTTTCTTGGTTTTGGTGCACTCCCTCAGAGTCAGGGCAGTCCCTTCACCTCCTGCATCTCTCCTCTTTGATTTTTAGCCCATTTAAAGGGTAGGGGCTCTCCTGAGTGCTCTTTGGGTTGTGGGTTTTTTTGGTTTTGGTGCACTCCCTCGGAGTGGCCCCAGCCCCCTGCCACTGTATGGTGATACATGATAATAGTTACGGCTGGTCCACCCTGTTCTGAGGTTTGCAACAGCTGGAGAGCCGTGGTGGCAGCCCAGTGCCTGGGATGTCCTGTTTGTCCCCTCTACTCTGGTCAAGACACCTTCAGTGTTGAGAGAGGTCAGGTTAGGGAGGACCTTCTTACCTGTTCACTCCTCAATACAGCTTTTAAGTTTTCAAAACGGAGGACATCGGCACAGTAAAACCCTCGCTATGAAAGCCAAGACTGAAACTCCGTCACCTGAGGAAGGCAGTCCCCCTTCAGCCTGTTTGCTTTCCTAAAACCCCAAATGAAGTGGTTTGTGGGATCACTTTTAGTGTTTGTGGCAATGCCACGGCAGCCTAGTAAAGTGACCAGAGCTTCTTAATGCTCGTATTTAGGACCAAGTAAATAAACAGGGCAGAGCAGCCTCGTAATTACTATTGCTAATTAGTTAATAGTTGTGAGGTGCTTTGAAGATGAAAAGTGAAGAGGTGTTCAGTTATTAAGTCCCAAACAGCCCTGTAACACCAGCAGCAGCTATTGCTATGGGTCAGCAGAGACTCCCTGCTGCAGTAGCTCACCGAGCGCTGCAGAGTTTTTCTTGGAGCCAGCAACAAAGAGAAGAGGGCCTTTGATGTCAGGATTGCATTTGGGTAGTTAAATCTCGATGAGTTTCTTGTATGCTTGAAAGGTGATGAGCTGCATGTAGCTGATTCTGCCTCGGGGCAGGGAGATGGTCTTGATGATGAGCTTTTAAGGTCCCTTCTGGCTCTGTTTTCCCTGATTTTGTGGTCTAGGGACGGCTTTGCTGAACTAGAGCCCGTCTTTCCTGCTGCGCAGCGGTTCCCTGCGAT